CCTCCCCTCCCTTCCCCTCCTCTCCTCTCCCCTCCCCTCCCCCTGCCTTTCTCTTTCCTCCCCTTCCTCTCCCTCTCCTTCTCCCTTTCCCTCTCCTTTTAAGAGAACATTTTTCTCCAACAAAGACAAAAATAAAATATACAGGTTCCTGTAGTGCCTCAGCATTGACTACAAGCTATTCAAGCACAGTTAATTTCTTGTTATCTATAATAGAATAGGAAAAAAAGGCTTCTCATATAAACATGATACACGCATTTTTTAACCTCATATATGGATTTTCCTGGCTTGGCTTTGAGGGTTGACCTCTGCCTTGGTCTAAATCTTCATAGTAATAACTTTAAATCTCCAAGACTATTGTCAAGGCACTTTTCCCAAAGTCTTAGGGCCGTCTGAATCTCTTTTCCTGTGCTAGCAAAATGCTTGAGTTTCTGCTTCAGTGTAAGTCCTTAGCTGATATTTACCTGCTGAAGAAGGCGTGCAGTTGCTTTGCTGATCTCAGTGCATTATACAAAATGATAGCTGTGTTCCATCCTGTCTTGTTCAATGGCAGCAGAACATGCATCATCAGCGAGCAGCTGCCCCAGAGGACTCTGAAATGCCTGTGCTGAGCTTGATTAGGCTGGTATAGCATTAGAACCTAGTCATTCACTGCAAAACCCACCTTCCCACCAAAGTTTTCCAAGCCCAAAGCCTGTGATGTGCGCTTGTGCCTTGCACTGTACTCATGTATTTCACTGGGATGCTGTTGGTTCTCCATTTTTCTCTGAAAGTGGGGAGGTCACTAGCTGCAGTCAGTAAAGGCTCAAATACAGGGAAACTTTGCAGACCCTGTAGGAGTTAAGCACTCCATAAAATTGATAGCCATTTATCTTTGTTAACAGCGCTAAGGATGTTGCACAAACTTGTAGGAAATTTCCACCCAGGTCAAAGAACAGCACTCCTCCCGCCAGCTTGCGTTTTAATTGTAGCCCTCACAGGACATGAACTGTTACAAAATGACCGGGAGCTCCATCACGGCACAGCAGCAGCAGCACAGTCGATTCTTTTAACTCCGGCTCCCCCCTGCCCTCTTACTAAGTGAGGGTCCTATCTTCTATACAGAGAAAGAACTACCTCATACCTGTGATTCGGGAGAAAATATTTAAAATAAAATCTGGTAAAAAAGCAGAATGCCACTACAAAATTCTCAACAGCAGGTTTTGTGGGTTTGTGATTTCCCAAGCTAATTTCAAAACAGAAGGGGATAAAGGACATGGGCAAGGCAGTAGCTGACTCAATTTTTGATTTTTGAACTCTTACTAATAGCAGTATGCTTTCCAAGGATTTCGACCCCTACTTCAACATCAAAATAAAACACCCACGTTTTTGAAATTGCTCCATCCCTACTCTGAGGTATGTTCTTTTAAAACATAGAAAAATAGTGTTTTCTGCTTTGTTTTGCTAGATTCAGGGAATGAATCTGAACACTTTGGTTTCAACCAACTAAATAGAAACTGAACACTGTGGGATATATGAAGAAACATATTTTCACATAGGCTCAGCTGGGACTTTTGTTTTCATTTCTGTGCTTCTCCCATTATCTAGTGAAACTGAAAATGTTAAGAGAAACTCACTATCTATCTATGAAAGGCCAAATCCTTACTGGCAAAACTACCTGTTTGGGTGTTTCTCCTGTCCTGGGACCAATTGTTGTTGTTTGATATGACTGTAAGACCATGTCACTATGGTCAATACAGCCAAATGATGGAGGGTTGTTTTCCATTCCATCAAGAAGTGATTTATCTCTGAGCTGTTTGTGTTTATTTTTCTGGAGATTTGCTAAAGCATAACCCAGGAAAACTGGTACATGTTCTTATTCAAGGAATTCTTGTGATGAAGTGCTTCCTCCACTTTAAAGTGCCATCTACTTCATGTCTTAGCAGATCCCCAAGCCGCTGGACCTATCCTTCTCATATCAATATCCTGCCCTGTTCCAATAGGGATTCATTGGTATCCCATGCAGATAGTTGAAATTATTTTCATGATGACAAGAGTGGGGCAATAGTAATCTTCTCACAAGTCAGTGTTCTTTCATGAAAGTTTAATCAACTTGCCAAAGCAGCTCTCTTACACTCACAGGCAACTATGAAAAGCACCTGTATGCAGCACCTGTAGTATGAGATATCAATACAGTGCTGCTCACATCAGAACAAAGACAATAACTGCACTTTCTGGATCCACTTACTCGTACTTGTGGCAAAGGGTACCGCCAATCCCAGGGACAGCATTGCTTTCAGTCCTGGTCAGAGCTGAGATGGGCACACAGTACCCATCCCTTGCATTGTGTCTGGCTCCAGTGGGCTGAGAATGTGCCATTTTGGATAACATGCAGGTGATATAACCCCAAAGGCCAGGTTCACTAGATCTCCCCAGATGATTTAGATATCTACTTTACTGAACTGACACCCAAGGAAGACATCACAGAAGTCAGCTGCTGACTCTTGCTGTATAGAAAACAGTGTCTCTCCTTGGGCTGTAATTCCCAGTCCCACACACAGATCCGCCTTCCACCCACTGCTTGTACGTTGTCTTCCTGTCCACTTTTTCTCTGACATCATGAGTCTCTCCAAGATATCTGGCACCTCTAGAAAGGGCAGGATTGTTTTACCCTTGCTGGTGGTGGGAGAGAGGAAGTGGTGGGAGGTCTGGCATAGTACAGCAAGTCCATTGTCTCTGTTTCATTGTGCTTTAGGATTTCTGAAGGGCACCCAAAAGGAGATTTCCCTTCCTAATGCATAGTCCTTTCAATCTAGGAAGCAAAATGGCTTATTACACCCTCATGTTGGAGGGTTTCACACCTGGGGGAGGAGCTTCACTGATTTAATACGAGACTGAGAAAAAGTACTACAAGAGAACCATGTTCCTTCTTTACATCTTGCTGAGAAAAATTAATATTAAAGCACTGTACTCATGTGATGGAAAATTGGATTGTATGCTGGGTCTCTGCTAGTTTACTTTGGTACATAAAATCAAGTATATCAAAATAAATTTATGAAGCAATACAGATCTCCCAACTACTGTCTGTCTTGTGAAAATGGAGCTAACTATGTGTCCCTTCTAATAGTTTTTTTGCCAGAGTTTCAGAATAAAGATTGAAAAATGCTTTGGATTTAAACCTTATTTGAACCCAATTTTTGGCTGAGGCCTGCCACTTGTAATAGTGCAAAGAAATGAGTCACTGATGTCAGTCTCAAAATCTCCTTAATCCAGTAAAAGTCTGTGCAGAAAATAAAGAGCTGGTCCTATGCTCCTCACCCTTGCCTCCCTTTCCCCAGCTGCTTGTTAGCGTCTTATACCAAATCCTGTACCTGTGCACGTATGACCAGACAGATCAGGGAGCTAACGTGCCTTAAAAGTTAGAACTTACAGTCTCACAGAATTACTTTTCAGGGTTGTTTTTCTGTCACATGATTTCCCTTGTCCCTCGTTGCCGTCACAAGGAAAAGAATGAATACAAGAGCAGAAGGGCGAGATACAACCTCTTTAGGAAACAGATTGCTGGGTAACAGTCACAATTTTCACAGCTAGAACAATTTCACATTCCTTCATGCTAAAGAACGTAAATAACTCCTGATATAGAAAATCCATTTGCTTGGTTGAGTGCTTTACACACAAGCCACACAAGCGTGAATTGTGGTTATGGTTTTAGACCCCCCGTTCCTTTTGAGCAATGGGAGTGGGTGCTTTTTGGTGTAGTGAGTGCAATCCTTGTGTTACCCAAAGCTGTATCTCTGTCTTCCCAAACTCATATCATTTTTTCAGCATGTGCTTGGAAAAGAAAGTAGCATTGTCATACTCCCAAACAAGCATGGTAATCGGCCCCACTGTTCCAAAGTAGAAGCAAAGTGGAAGATTCTACTGTTTGACAAAGATTATCTTCTGTTTCCTGTTTCAGGGAAGAAAATGAGCAAAAGTAAAGGTCATCTGTGTTTATATTAACTATACAACAGTTCCACTATGTTTCGTAACAAACTTGGGTCATTATTTATCCACTTGTCCTTTATATCATTGCTTTGAACTCTCTGGGTTTGCTTATCATGATATTTCTAAAACCTGTAAACAGTAAGGGAAAAGTATTTCTAGTTTTCTAAATAGAGCATTAGGTCATTTTATTATCAGAGAAATATAACGCTGCCCATCTGTTGTTGTTTCACATGTGGAACAGCAGGCAGCCTCCTCCTAAACGTTAATTATTTCAAGGAAGTCACTGCAACAACTTTGCCATATGGGCCTGGTTTCGTTTCTGTTCTTTGTGATAGCCTTCCCCACAGCCATCCATGAAGTACGGATAGTTCTGCACTGAGAAAACAAACCCATCCACGCAAACCCCCAGCTAACAACCCACTCTTGATACAATTTGCTGCAAATACTTTAGATTTTGTAATCGGGGCAAAGGTAGAGTTTCATTTTCACTAAGGACTTCAATACATCTCTTGGTTTGAAATCGAGTTTGTATCTTCCTCGAAACCTTTGGAAAAGGTGAGATTCTCCACTTTCTAGCCCTGGGGTATCATTACCTGTTAGATCAATGTATTGCTTCCTGCAGCAAGACATGTCTCTTGTTACTCTCTTATAACATAAAATACAAAAGGGCAATAATGAGGACAACTGGAATAATAGTTAACCAGATCCCAAAATCCTAGGTCCCTTTGTGGTTCACTGAAAGCATGTTCTTCCAGGTCAGAATGTGAAGAAAATGTTGAGGTAAACAGGTTCAGTCGCAAAGTAAACAGAAAGCTGCTGTGGTTAGAAGGTCTTCCAGGCAGGCATTATATTTCTGCAAATTATCAGTGCGGTGCTTAGCAAAGTTTGCTAGTCCTCGCAAGTGTTACAGTAGTGCAGAAAAGGAAGACGCTTTTTCATACAGATAAATACAGCTAAGGAGTTATCAAGTGCCTTAGTCCCCTCTTGAGTTTAGGTAAAAGAACAAATTGCATGTGAACTTCCTGCAACCTCTCACCTTCTCGTATACTATTGTTCCCAGTTCCCAAAACCTCCCCTTTGCAGTACCAACTTATTCAGTTAAGTTAAAAGCTATAAGTTACCAACTTATACATTCTGCTCCCTGAGAATCTGTCATTTCCACCACATGAATAACATGCTGTACATCAAACACCAAACTGTGCAGCAGGATGTGGTGCTTGCATTTCTGTCTAAGCCTCAAAGAGATTGACATTGAAAATGTCAGTTGAGCAAAACTCAGTCATCAGTTTACTCTGAATGAAAGTGAAAATTGAGATACAGCTTGGGGGCACTGCTTGAGTCTGTGTGGGGTCTCTTTGCTTCTCAGGGTATCTCAGAGATCAGTATGCTCTGCAGCACATTGGGTCTAGCCTCGTCCATGGGGGTTTTTCTGAAAGACCAGTAGTTTCTCTTTCCTGGGAAGATTAAGCTGGGGTGTGGACTGCTTGCTTTGTTTTGGTTTGAGGAGGGATTTGCCAGGGAGTCCTCCTGGCAAAACTGACCTTCTTCTAGGGAATTGTGGTGTTTAGGAAGTCCCAAGCATCTTTTAGGTGTCTTCTAAGAAATTTATCAGCTGAAAGTTGTATGCATGGGAGATAAAGACTGAAAAGATTTGATGGGCCAGCAGCATTCCACAGACCAGATTATGAGAAAGTTTACAATGGACTGCTTATGTAGCTGTTATACAGATTTAACAAAGGAGAGTAAACCCATGTGGACCAGTTGGACTAGGGTAGATTTTCTTTAAGGACCAGCTGTATGGGAATACAAGGAATGGTTGAGGTTTATCTTGAAAAATCTGAGAGCTCTACTCAGCTGATGTACCCATATCAGGATATAGCTTTGTATATTTTCATGTAGTAGGGATAACTTTCTTTGTTGTTTTATACAAAAAAATTACATGCACGAGGAATATAATAAATGAGATATCAGGAAAATAACATGAGAAGGAGTTTAGAAGAAACACTCACTAGGAAACAATCCAAATCCCCTCATTAAGAAGAGGACAGAAATGGGAGGACGAGTGGCTTTGGAATTGCTCCACGGTGCGATAAGTGTCTCCTGGGAAATGCATGTGCCATCTTCCCCTTCTTGCAAAAGGAGGAGTGCGCTTCTAGCCTCAGAGAAGGCAGTGAGAAAGTGAGAATTCAGCCCTATCCAAGCACGAGCTTGTTCCTCAGACAGATTAGTCTGTGGTAGCTCACTGCTCACATTTACCATGAGGAAAATCCAGGCTAGGTGCTGGTTTGCTCCAGATGGATCCCTCCATGACACCACTTACATACATGCTTTCAGAACCCTGCCCTAGTCACTGAGAATTTTATGACCAGGAGCTTTACTGAGAAAACTATTGTCTTCTTTGAGGTCTTACTGCAGGTAACTGTTATGCCTCTGTGAGTTTAAAGACTACTCGGTATGAAGACTACCTGAGTTGTTTTAATGCCCTGGAGAAGAAGCATCCTATCTTTTTTTCAATTTATGTAATTCCCAACAACCCATAACTGTCTGCATGGGCTTGGACCACTTTTACTACTTTAAAAGTATCCCAAATTGATGTGCAAATTAATTACAAGTGTAGATTAAATTTTTTTGTTTGTCTTTGTTTTCCCATGTGTGTATGTGCATGTGATTGTGACTTCACATGGATGAGGGTGCAGGTGAGATGACTTCTAAGCATGTTGGTACCGTTAAATATATTCCATCCTTGATTATGATCCCCCCATAAGCACTGGCCATCTATGTGATATAGCAGCAGGGATGACCAAAAAACGCGCGCTGTACTCAGATAGTGCTTTACCTTAAACAAGATGCTGTTGCAAACACGGTTAATCTCTGTTGCTTCTTTTCCTCTCCCTGTCTCAGGTTTGTGCACCTTTCATCCAAACAGCTTTTTACACGCTGAGAAAACCCCTTTGCCTAAATCTTGATTCCACCTTATTGACGTGTCAGGAGTGTAGACTGTGCTTGTTCCCATACTCACCATACATTACATAACTTAATAATGGAAGTTTAACCCCTAGAACTTTGCTGAGTCTCTTAAATATGATGTTTTCTTTTACTTATGGGCCTGGTAACTGTTGTTGAATGAATCACTCTCTCCTTCGGCCCCCATTACACAGCTCGCTATCAGCACCAACCTATTCCCAAAGATGGGAGCACTGCTAAAGGCAAGGCAAAGGTTTTCCAGCACTTTTTTCTCATCTTTTAAAGGGACTTTATGAAACACATAGTAAGTATTTAATAAAAATATATATAAAAATTAATAGAGAAGCAATAAAGTAAATTGGAGTAATGATGACTAGGTAAGCAAAGAGACTATAAAAGAGGGGGAAGTAGAATGAAAGTCACCTGTTTTCTATCAGAAATACAGTTTAGAGCTCAAAATCCATTCCCACAAAGACAAAAATACATGTGTGACACGTGAGGAAATGAACTCTCCAGGATGTGCCTTGGGAGTGCTCTAGGACACAGGCATTTTGGAAAAAGGTGATAATGTCCTTAAAAGGGCAGTGATGAGATTGTGGAACTCCTGTGTGTGGGTTCTGGAAAAAAAAGATATATTCGAAAAACTCCAAAAAAACAAAAGCAACTGGAAAATACGATCAAGTAGGTTAATTGTAGACACTTGGAAAATGGAAAGACATTCCCTTTTTTTTTTCTTTATTTTTAAATAGGAGCTTTTGTAATCTGGCTTCTGTTGAAGGCACAAGGAAATATGCCTTGATTTCAGTGTCTATTGTGTGGAGTCTTCACAGTTACAGCCTGAAAACCTTAAATAAAGAAAATCATCAAAGAGTAAAGCCCAAATATTCCACCATGCTGCTTATTGGTCATTAGGTAGTGGCCCTTTTTCATGGATGGGTCCATACTGCTGTTTCTATTCCTACCCATCAAATAGGAGCTTAGGAAATACTTGTGTATCTAACAGACAGAGGTATCAGCTAGTAAACTTCAGTTGCAACTTCTGATTATAGTAATCGAAATCATATAAATGATGGGGAAATTGTAAAAAGATAGCTCTGGAGCCCATTACCAACTCCAGGGGACCCAGGATAGACAGCTCTTTTTACTGATGACATATATGCAAGGCTTGGTGTCATCTTAACTGAGATTATAATATTTGTCTTACTGGAAGTACAGCCAGATCTCTATCAGACTACATACCTGACCAAATTCCCTTTGAAATCCATCTTTCTTACTCCAGTTACACTCATCATCTGGCAGTAACAACTCTGTGAATATGGTGCTGAATGGTAGATTTTCAGAGATAGTTCTTTATCCAAATCAACTGCAGGAATAATTTGTCTCATGTTCTATTTCAAAGAAACAGAGGAAACTCTTGAAGGCTATGACCTTGCTGAGTAATATCTCCAGACTGTTGGTCACTAGGGTCCCATCTTTTTCCAAGGCTGTTGAAAAACTAGATGAAAATAGAGTGTTTAAATTAAAATTAGAAACTTGTGTGCCTCTTCTCTGCATTTGGAACTTTAATTTTTTTTTTTTTTTTGCTGCTTCTCTCAGTGACTTTTATTATCTTTATTGCAGGATTGCCCTACTGCTGATAACAGTGGCAGTTTTGTCTAAAGCCTTGATGTGGTTATCTGTTGTCCTTGCTATTTGGTGAATCTTAATGATAACCTAAACTGACTCTTGTCTTATGCTCCATCTGTATTTGATGTTTAGTGCTGAAAAGCATGATTTGTAAAGTTAGAGACCTGAAATCCTACTTAAGGAGGAAAGTGGAATCTTACACAGTTTTCTTTGCTTGGTATAGCATCGTTCTGTGTTCTCCAGAGTCTCACAGCCCATTATGCCTTTTGGCATGCATCTTGATGTGAGCTGTTCTGATGTATAATGGACTTCAGCTTAGTCCCAGAAGCACACAGTAAACAGCAACAGGGAGAAGGCTCTAGAAAGCACTGCAGTGCTGTCTCTGAAATTTGCCATGCAGCATCTCACCTGCTTTACCTGTCCAGAAAGAGCTATCACCCATAAAGCATTTGGCTCTTTCACTATGTCTTTTCTGGGCTTTAGTGGTTCTTAAGAGACCCGGTAAAGAATGGCAAAATACTGAAAAAGCCAGGAGAAATCTGCAACACTGAGCCTTGGGTTGGCTTTTTGAATCATGTTTGGAAACTGCAGTTTAGTCAGCAAAAGGTCTGAGTTGGTGCGCATACTGTATCCTTTTCTCTCTCTTCCTTGGTCTAAGCCAAGAATTAATCATGGCATAAGAGGTAAATGAGTGGGGGATTTCAGTGTAAACTGTGCTAGTGGATTGGTAAACATTTCTGGTATTGTTGCAAATAACCAACACAAGTGTAAGGAATGGAAGTTTAGCTTTAGGCCTGTATGTTTACCATTATGACTTTAAACTGTTTATAAGAAGAAGAGTACTTTAAATGTTCCTGAGGAGATGGGCAAAACCACACGGCTACTAAGGGTTTAACTGAGATAAAATGTTTGCCTTACAATTTGGAGAAACACGGTCACTTTGTAGGCGTGGTTTGTCATTTAAAACATTGCTGTTGACATTGTGTTGTGACATCAGCCTAAAACATTTATGGTAACTCCAGAAATTAGGTGTATTAGAAGCTGGGAGGCAACATCTGGATTCTTCCTTATCACTGTGTCCTCAAACTTAGCTAATTCAGAGTTTCCCATGTTAACTAACAGTGCAATTCCATCATCACCCTTCCCTTCCCCTGCCCCCTGCCCCCCCCATCTCCAGCCCCACTTCCCCCTCCTATTTTTATTTGACTTATTAAGATGTGGATTTAAATGTCTTTCAACAAAGCCGTAGGTCCAGGACACATGTCAGTAGGGGAAGGTGTCAGTTTTCATGGTGACCAGTAAAACACTGATTAGGTTTTCCCTAGCTAAGCCACTGACTAAAAGCTTGGTAGACCTGGGTGCTGTTCTCCTGGAGGTTGTGAACTGGACATCTCACCTCCCACATGTCAGCCAGGAGACCTGGTCTGGCAGCCGACCCCCATGTTGGGGAGCTTGGAGTCTGTAGTTCAAATTCTTCCTCAGTATGATGGGTTAAACCACCTATTACCACTATCAAGGAGTTCTCCAAAAGACTACCAACATGGTCTCAGTTGAGGTTATCTTCTATCCTGTTTTATCCTGTAGGTGAAACTAAAAATTAAGTGGAAGAGAGTATAGATCTCTAACCAGATCATAGAGTGCTGGCATGGAACAGCAAAGACCTTGGTTCCAGTGTTCCAAGGTATTTTTAAACATCCTGTGAGGTTTGGCTCCCTGACTTAGGATTTGTAAACACGTGGCATTGGCAAATAAGAAACCAACCTATTGCTGCCAAAACAGGTGGGGAAGGATGTCAGAAGGACAAAGTCCCTTACCTTGGTGAAAGGGATCTTCACAGTTCTGGCCAAATTCCACTCAGCAGGAGTTCACAGTATCCTGGTGTTACCTGAGGACAAGTTTTGATCTTGGGACCATACAGAGGAAAGGACAAATATCTAACTTGCAACAGGTGTGACCACGACAGCCAGAAGTTAGAAGCAATAAAAAACTCTTTTGCTACTTTGTAAAACTGAGTGCTCCAAGAGTGTGCTTCAGACTGACAGCAGAGTTGATCAGCAAGAGGTACACAAGGACAGACATAAGCAACACTGCCTTCCTCCCCTGAGAGCTCTTTCACTTCTTAACACCTTGGTCTGATAGCTTTTTATGTTAGGATGGTACCAAGAAGGCTGACCATGGTGAACCCTGTAGAGCACTGAGCTGCCAGCAAATAACATCTCCTTGAGAAATTCCTAATTTAAATAGAAAACAGCAAGTATGAATGACAAAATGAGCACCCTCATCCAGTGTCACTGGTTTTGCCCTATAACCTTGTCTTCTCCAGAATCAGATCTGATGCCTGTCTTTTTCTGTATGTGCCACAAGAGAGACCATATACTTTTGTGTGACTTTCACCCATTTGCAGGTGGGTGTAGCCTCTTTCAGGCTGCCCTGAAGTCAGCCCTTAACAGCTACTGGTTTGTTGTGCTCTCACTGTGTTTGTGACCTTAGTCTGCAGCCTTCACTGGGTTTGTCTTTCCTTTGTTCCTGTACCTCAAACACATTTTAGAGAGCTATTCCCAAACTTTTGACCAGCACCCAACCCATTAAACCTCCTCAGTATTACAAGTGCTCTGCTACTGAAGCAATATGCAGGAAAATATGCTCCATGTCATGGAGCAGCTCCTGTGGAATGAGGAAAATGCTGGTGAGCTGGAGGGTGAAGATGCCTTTAGTGCAAAGGGTTTGAGGTAGATGTGACCTCTGCCAAGTTCCTAAAGGAATTCCTCTCAGATTTAGAGATCGTGCCAATTGTAGGTCTTCTGGATAACCCAGAGCTTGCTGGGGAGCATCTTGGATGGAAAGTATGGTTTAGTCCTGTCATATGGATGTTTTTCTAGTCTTTCTAAACTATTTTCATGTAGAAGTAACCCTTCAAGGCCATGCTACTTGGGCCAGTATTTAGATTGATCAATCAGATTTTACATTTCAAGTCTCTATCTCCTGCCCAGACAAAGGCCTGTAGTAGTAATGGAGTGTTTTCTAGCTGTTGTAAATGTGGGGGGTTATTTAAGCTGCCATGCTTAGTTTAGCTGATGAGCTGATGAGGAAGAATTATCAATTCTGTTATAAACAACCACTTATATAGCAAACATCTACCTAGAACACAAACAGCTCATGCTGACCTGGAGGCACCACTGAGATCCTGGCCAGGCCCACAGCAATATGTTTTCAAGGAAAAAACAATTAATTACAGACTGACAGACTCAGTTAGCAGGATTACAATACACCTCTTTATACAGCAAAGGACCAAGTTAATTATCTCTGGTATACAGGATAGCTGGATGTGTCTAACGGCCTTTGCTCCTTCCTGACTCGAGGGGAGATAGTTTATTATTTGCTAATTCCAAATCTGAAACTGCTAAGAAATTTTGGGTTTATTTTTCTGTTTTCTCTGTTGAAATGACTTGGAATCATTAATTCTGCTACTGTTTTCCCTGTTTTGTCTCAAAGATAGGACTAAAAAAAAAAAACAAAACCCAACAATTTTGACCAGGCATTTATATATGAAGCTGTGTTGATGACAAACACATTCTAGTTTATGTATTCATACTTTCATACAGATATGTATAAATTTGTGCATGCATTTATATCTATATATAAATATACCTGTGTATGTACATATAGATGTACATATAGATGCACAAGACTTACATTTACACACATATAATGTGTATGTTTTTATACATACATGTATAAAAACATATATACACAAGTAACATACATGTATTTTTATACACACACACACACACACACACACATTGCATCCACACTACCACCCTGATATTCATAGTAGCCATTCTCTGATGGATTTCCATACTGACACTCATCTTGCAACAACGCTTTCTTTATCACAGTTCAGTGGTAGGTTAGTGGAAGGAGGGACAAGCAACTTTTTGTTCTGTGAATGAGCCATTACAGTGGTCTCAAGCTCTTCACGAGGAGATTTTGCCTGTGAGCTCTCTCCATAGTCTTGTCAATAAAGCCTGTAAAAACAAAACTGCACCAACAGCACTTCACTGAAGCTGCAGGTCAGTCTGTGCTAAGGCTGGGGAAGAAGAAAGAGGATCTGAGAGTGTTTTAGACTGTGGGTCAAAACAGGAAAGTGGAATACTTGGAAGATTTCTAAAGGATCATATAAAATAATTTGGAATAGAGTCAAACCCTGAGGCATAAGCCTATGTAGCAGGTATAAGCTTGGTCAGTTTGAGCTTATGGAGAGAGCAGAGGCAGAGTCAAGGGACTCAGGGAAAGTCAAGAAAGACAAATGCAGTGTCTTGCACCTGGGGAGGAATAACCCCAGGCACCAGCACAGGCTGGGGGCCAACTTGCTGGAAAGCAGCTCTGTGGAGAAGGACCTGGGGGTCCTGACGGACAACAAGCTGTCCCTGAGCCAACAGTGTGCCTGTGTGGCCAAGAAGCTCAGTAGTCTTCTGAGGTGCAGCAGAAAGAGCACTGCCAGTAGGTCGAGGGAGGTGATCCTGTCCTTATACTCTGCCCTGGTGAGGCACATCTGGAGTGCTGTGTCCAGTTCTGGGATCCTCAGGACAAAAGAGACAAGGAGCTCCTGGAGCGGGTCCAGCGGAGGGCTGTGAGGGTGATGAGGGGACTGGAGCATCTCTCTTATGAGGAAAGGCTGAGGGAGCTGGGCCTGTTCAGCCTCGAGAAGAGCAAACTCAGAGCAGATCTTACCAATATATACAAATATCTGAAGGGAGAGCGTCAAGAGGATGGGGCCAGACTTTTTCCAGTGGTGCTCAGCAACAGGACAAGCGTCAATGGGCACAAATTGAAACACAGGAAGTTCTGTATGAATAAGAGGAAAAATTTATTTCCTTCAAGAGTGACAGAGCACTGGATTAGGCTGCTGAGGGTGGTTGAGGCCTCTCCTTCTCTGGAGATGTTCAAAACCCATCTGGATGTGACCCTGAGAACTGGCTTCAGCAGGTAGGTTGGACTAGAAGATCTTCAGAGATCCTTCCAACCCCAGCCATTCCATGATTCTGTGATTCTGGTGGATTTCTGTAATGTAATCACTCCACATTCTTGCCTCAGTAATGAGGAATGACTCAGCACAGTTTTTCTTCAAGCATACGTTGTGTGTGGGGATCCTCATAACAGGTCTTCAGCTTCTTAGCCTTCAGCACATATCATGGACAAGCACCAAAACCTAGCAGACCACACTTCAAAACACAAGTCAATACCTGGACACCTAGGGCTTGATTCAGGAAGATATTTAATACTTCCTAACTCTTCTTGATTTCTGAGGAACTAATGGAAGCTCTTGGAACTAAACATGTCTGTCTGAATCCATTAATAAAAGTTTATGTTCTCATCCTACCTCAGTCCCTGTTCACATTAATAGTATTTATGAAGTTCATCAGAAATATAAAACTACTCATCGGTCAACCAGATATGAATAATCAAATGTATTTAAAATATAAATTGCACTTGTGGTAATTATATTGTGCCATTGGCCATTCTGTTCAGAGTGGTTAAAACTCATATAATAAGTTACTCATTGTAAATTATTCACTTATTTGTAATAAACAAGTTTTCATCAGAAATCTTGGACTGTTTTGTTGTTTTTTTTTAAATAAAACAGAGATGCAAACTGAAAATGGGAAGAATTCTGGTAAATGGTTATTACTGAGGCTCTGCTTTCTATGTCATCCAGATTTGAAACTGAATATTTTGAAAAGGTTTTATTTAGGTGCTGAAAACCTACAAAAAAGCACTAGATTGGCTCTAAAACAATGTTCACTTAGGAAAAATGGGAGCTATGTCAACCTCACCTTAAAGGCTGTTCAGGCAAAGGTCTGGAGTGGACAGGGAAAATCAAGCTTAAAAAAAATATATTATGTGATCAAGACTGTAAAAATACTAGTTAATTTAAGTCCTATAAACATAAAAGTGTTTTCTTCCTAAAGGTAGGTGGTAATGGATAATTTTTACATCCTGTCTGGGTCCACATATGCAATTGTTAGAAGGTTACATTGTTTCTGAGTAATGATGATACCCCGAAAGAGAGACAAATATTCATTACCTGTAAGAATCAACACAGAACATCTTAAATGGTTCAGAATAACCTTGCTGCAGATGTGTGGTGGTCACACTCTGCCTTATAGGAGTTGCCTGACGCAGCTCAACAGGCTTACACCTCTGGAGATACTCTGGACATAACACATCTCTGGAGATACTGGCCCTTTGTTGTAGTCAAGCGTTAAGAAATCAATTGGAATGAGTCAGTGATCTGCCCTGGTGGGATAAATCTTGTCAAAAGTAGTCCCTTCCTTTGCCTTCTTTCTGCAGTTTCTCTGAAACACGTAGGCAACCTAAAAGGAATCATGAGGAAACACAAGACAAACTTGGGAAGTGAATGAAACAAAAGGAAAACAATTCCATCACGTTTCTCTTAGCATGAGGATGAGCCTGAAGTTTTTAGACACACAGAGTACTGTGGAGTGTAAAGATACGGGAGCTGCTATCTATGCAATATGAAGATCTGGGAACAGAACCTCAGCACAGGGCAAATCCTTGGAATGGTTATCCTCAAAGAAATCTGTATGTCAGTTTCAAGAGCTTTTGTCTATCCATGTGTGAGCATACACAAAAAGAGGTTTTTTTCAGTTTAAGAGTGAAAACAAATAGTGCTCTACTCTTGAGAGGCTTTAGGCTTAGATCCTCAGAGGTATTAATTGTCTTTGTAAATTAAGTGCCTGAATAGTGGGGTCTAGACTTTACACTTTGGATCAGAAACGCCCTTAATCAGGTGCTCTGTTCAGGCACTCTTTTGAGTCAGCTGTGCAGGTGAAGGTGGGAGCATCACCCCAATGGAAGCCACAGCCTGTGTAATCCTGCTGGCAGAGTGGCTCCCTAACATGCTGTAGGCAAAAACATCTGGCATAACACAAACCCAAGACACGCAGTTTACGTGTGTAAACCGACCTGGATGATGTTCCTGAGGTTGTGTTAAGCACCTTGGGGATGACAACATCATTATCTGACTAGAATTTGTAGCTGTAAGACTTGGCACCAGCACCATCACATTGACTGTAATTACTCCCCTGCACCTGGCCCCCAGGATCCAAACTGGAAAAATGTGCGAGTTGAACTGGCAGCCTAAAAATGTTGAAAGGTAACCAAAAATAAAGCAATCTATAATGTG